GAAAACAGCTAAAAGCTGTAATAAAATCTGGGAAATGTAGTCTTTTTCTTCTGAGTAGCCCTGTCCACAATTAAAATCTATTACTCTAGAAGAAATGCTGGATTTTCCTGGACATATTACTGGACAAATTCTGCCATAGCTTCTTTTACTGCTACTACTACTAATACAATTACTGTTATAGCAGAATTGCATCATGTATCTAATTACCTTATACATCTTCAGTTATGTGCACTAGCATGGAGGAGGGAAGAGTGGAGAGAGAGGAATTTTTTAAATGTAGGGTGCCCCTCTATCCCCCACTTCATGTGAGATGCAATGGGGAATGCTGAGTATGATTCTTGTGTTTAAAACAACATGCAAACCAATCACTTCATCTGATGGTCAGCTGGAGAAATCTGGTCCAACACTCAGATAAAACTGGCTGAGCAGGACTTACTGATAGTGTGCGGGTCTCTTGTGAGGCACCTTCCTCTGAGATTTTTGGGGGTAACTTCAGCTGTTCCTGACTTTTGGCTTATTACCTGACTTGAGAACTTCACACATAGGCAAGAGTCAGTGACCACTGTAGTCTTAAATTGGTATGTATTTGAGAAAACTTCATGTTACCTAGCCTGTTTAACTCACTGCTGTGCTCACTAGTAACAGCATATCAGGCAGAGAGTCTTTCGGTTAAAAAATTTATTAAAGTCAAATCCCTTAAAGCTAGTGTACAGAAAATCGATGTTCTGGTTTTGAGATAGTGACCATCTCTGCTTAAAGAAATGGAGAAACATCATTGGTGTGTCTTTTATGACCTTATTTCAAACGTTTACAAGGTACTAAAGGAATTTTTATTTTGAAGCAAATAGTAGAATACGTCATTTTTTATTCAGAAGCAGTTTAGTCTTTTCTCTCCTATAGGAGTACTTTATTTTAAGCAATTCCAAACAGTTAAACATAATTTTTCACTAAAAATAAATTAGGGTATGGGCTGGCCTTGTGGCCTAGTGGTTAAGTTCGGCATACTCCGCTTTGGCAGCTCAGGTTTGCATCCTGGGTGCAGACCTATGCCACTTGGTGGCCATGCTCTGGCCGTGACCCACGTAACAGAATAGAGGAAGATTGGCACAGATGTTAGCTCAGGGCAAATCTTCCTCAGCAAAACAAAAAAAAATTAGGGTGAATGCACTTAGACTAATTATTGGTCACAGAAGCAATCACAAAATGATCTTCTCTTTTGTAAGTTTCTCCTGTGCATTAAAATGATTTCATTGGCAAGATTTTTCTTGTCTTACTATTTTTAAGGAGTACATTTTCTGTGCTAAATGAGGTACTCCAATAAAATCTTTTAGAATCTTAGAGTTAGATGAGACTTAGAGGTCATCTAGTCTAACCTACCTGTGTGTGTAAGAATCCCTTCTAGAACAGTCTATGGAGTGACCAGTCTCTCTTGGAACATTTCTATAATGGGAAGTGGATGTCTGTTCATTTCATTTTTGAATAGTTCTATTCAATATAGTACTGTTAGGATCAAACTTGACACATGCCCAGAGCAGTTTTTGCTTTTTAAAATTCTGAGTCTTTCTAACAGTCTGATTGTTAGCTAATTACCTGGGATTATGAAAATTACTTGGAGTTCTGTCCTTTCACCATAAATCATGACTTAGGAATTTAGAGGTTGTTTTCTAACTCCCAACCTAGGACACAAGTTTCTTCCATGGCCTGCTGATTCCATTCTAGTCCTAGAACAAAGCAGGTGTTCAGCAAACACAGATTAATGAATACAGTTTCTGTCTAGACTGCTGCTCTTAAGAAAGGGCGTGCTCATTGTTTGATGAATGGCTTGGGATTGCAAGGCCTTAAATAGCTAAGGATTTGAGGAGCTGGGCCTAAGCTGAGTCTGAAAAGCTAAAGCAGACTTGGAGATGAGGAATGTCTTAGAGTTGTTCTTACTTCAGACTGAATAAAGATCCACTGAAATGACAAATGAGAGCTTAAGGCCTGATGGCAAAACTGATTGTCTGTGATCATGAGGGGACCCTCTCATCTTAGTGTTTTCATATACCAAGGAACACCTGGAGGCAGTAAATAGTGGTAAATAAAGACACCCTCAGAAATTGCTTCTGTATTTGTAATTCTGGGAGAAATCTTCATTCAGTTAGGTAACAGTCGTGAGAATTGTGGCTTTTCGTTCGATATAAGAAATAAAGCATTATAAAATTTTATAAGATTAGTTTCTTAGTGCCGAAATGGTTTCCTTTTATACTAGAAATAGAACAAATATGAGAAATATGCGAATATTGTCTTTTTCTTTTTTTCAAGTTTTTAATCTAGATTGTTTGAATTCTGGAGTTCTTTATAGACATTACAACTCTATCTCTGTGTAGTGTTTTTGTTATTATGCCTTTGCAGGAGCTGTAAATAACCTTGACTAGATATATCTTGTCTGGTGTTAAAAATGATTCATATGAGCTTGAGATCTAGGCTGCCAAAAGGTTGTATATAACTTTTAGGCACATTCCGATAGAGTTCTGGATGCCATATGAAATGCTCCTGAACAAGCAGTCTGAGATTTTTTATTTTGACATTTTCCATAATGAAAAGCAAAAGCTTGTTTTGGAATCCATAGGAAACATGTATTAGAAATTGCACGTAAAAGGTTAGAGTTGAGGTTTGGGATTTATAGGCTTAAGATTTTTAACTCTTTTCTGTAATATAACGTAAAATTAATAGTCAAGGTCCTCTTTCTACCAGTTAAGAAAAGGGCATCCTGCATTTTCGTTCTTTGCAAATACTGAAAAGTATGTCGTATTTGGGAAGCAGAGTGGAGCTAATCCAAGTTAACCTTGGATGGCGACTTCACACATATACACTGGGCCAAGACTTAATATTCAGTGATTCGTTTTCATGATTGATGGCCTTTTACGCTTACAAGTAGAAAAAGAGATATTTCTTGCTATGGGTCCAAGCCTAGAGAACTCTGCAATGATCCCCTCCATCATGAAATCTTCCACATATGGACTTAACTTCCCAGAGATTTCAGAGTGGGAGTTTATAATTATTTGAGTGGTTATGGACCCTTATGAAAATCTGATGAAAACTACTGGCATTTTGCCTGGCAAAGTGCCAGTGTATACATTCACGTATCTTTGTATACAATTTCAAGAGGGGTTCATGTTTATGGTCCTCTTGAAGGCCGTCTTTTCTAGGGCTTGATAAATGCCAGGTTACATACTCATTCCCTAAAATGAATCTCAGCCCTGGGAGAGAAACTCAATGAGGACCTGTAAGTTCTGTGTAGCTACGTTAGCCCAAAGGATCTTGTTTTACCTTGTTAAGATGGTTAACACTCTGACCCTGTAAGACTTTGGACATGTGACATTTCTAACTCCCTTTTTTCTTTAGCTAATATTCTTTTTAACTCCTATTTATTCTTATGTTTTTGACATCCTGTTCTTTTATACCATATTCTTTTAAAAAAATAGTTTTTTTTTTGTGAAATATGACAAACATACTGAAAACTTAATAAATGCACACTTTATTGAATAATTTTAAAGTGTAATTATCAACCAGGTCAAGAAATAGAATATTGCCAGCCCTCCAGCAAGCTACCCAGTTTCCCAGTCACAACGCCCTCCTGTTTGGTAGAAGTAGCCACTAACCTGGCTTGTAAGATACGTTAGTTCCTTGCTGGTCTTTATAATTTTACTACCTATGTATTTACCTCTAAAATATCTTACTGTATATATTCTTTTTTATTTGTTTTGCTTCTCTCAACATTGTGCTTGTGTGTTATCCATGTTGCTGTAGATACCTGTAGTTCATTTATTTTCATTGTTGTGTTATAGTGCATTGTGTGACTGTACCACCATTTGTTTGTTTGATATGCTTTGATCAAGGTTTTCATGATGCTGCCAAAGAGAACTTTCAATTTTCTTATGTTTTTTCTGGCTTGGGCCAGTTTTCTCTCCATTAATAGTGAAGTCAAATATTAACTAGTAGATTTGTTACATGCAAATTTTTTGGAAATTTAAATAGGGATTGAAATCAGTGATCCAGGTGTCTTATTATCTGTTATTGTTCTTTCAAGAACCGCCATCTGTAATTTGCTTTTCCTCTAGATATTTCATATATATTATATGCCTGACTGTCAGAGAAGTTAATTAAACAACTTCAGCAAATATTTGAGCATCTGTTCGATGAGCTAGACACTTTTAGGTGCTAGGGCTGCAGCACTTTAGTAAACATGTAGTTATTTCATTGTTTATATGTTGTTAAGATACACAGATACATATATTTGTTTTAAAAAGATCATACTGCAGAAAGGTGTAAAATGAAAAGTTTGACTTTCTGTTCCCTGAGCCCTATACTTAGTGTTAAGTTTCTTGACTATTCTTTCTATAAAAGAATGTGTTTATCTTACATATCTATAGCTTAAAATATTACACAGTGGGATTTTCTTGTAAGCCTTTTGCACTTTTTTCTTTTAATAATTTATCTTGAAGATTTCAATGAAAGTTAGCTGTTTTTTCCCTTTCTTTTTGGTGAGGAAGATTGGCCCTGAGCTAACATCTCTTGCTTCCTCTTTTTGTTTGAAGAAGAGTGTCGCTGAGCTAACATCTGTGCCAATCTTCCTCTGTTTTATGTGGGACACCACCACAGCATGGCTTGACAGGCAGTGCTGGGTTTGTGCCTGGGATCCGAACCTCTGAACCCCCGGCCACTGAAGCAGAGCATGCAAACCCAACCACCATGCCACTGGGCAGGCTCAAAAGTTAGCATTTTTAAATTGGGAAACTGCCAGAAACTTAGTAGTAGAATTAAAAATAGAAACAGTGCCTTCGTATTCTCAGTCTTCCAGATTAACATATTTTTCCTGATTTATTATAGAAGCAAGAATCAGAGGAAACACTATGCCTTTGATTTATTAGAAATCAGAAAACTTATTTTTAGGACATGATAAAATCTACCTATGGGAAATCATAACTTTAAATTGTCCTGTATCTATATTTTTTCCTTAGGCATTGCTGGAGACCATGTTTGGTGTAAAAGTGGTCATAACAGGTGATGCATTTGTTCCTGGAGAAAGGAGTGTCATTATCATGAATCATCGGACAAGAATGGACTGGATGTTCCTGTGGAATTGTCTGATGAGATACAGCTACCTCAGAGTGGAGAAAATTTGCCTCAAAGCCAGTCTCAAAAGTGTTCCTGGATTCGGTAGGCTATTCACAAATTATTTTAAGTTGCTCATTCATTTTATATGTGATGTACGCAGTCTAAAACTACAGAGTAACTTACTGAAACTCCACTTAAATTTAAAAACGTTCTCATTTTTCCTCACTAGCGTAAACTCAGTTACCAGGTTTTATTTTTCTTACTGGATCATAACAGATTATTTTAATCTTGCTTTTGAAACATCTTATGTTGAACGTGGGAATAAACTATTCTCAAGGAAGTAGATGTGGTTCCAGAGGGACTAACACTTTGAAGGATATGAATTAATAGTTCAGTAAATTTTTATTGCATGTCGTGCTTGTGGTACTTTAGACCAGCAAGTGGTCTGTGCTGATAAGACACTTGAAATGAACTGATAAATAAATATTAATTAAATCCCTGTTAGTCCAAGCATTACACTAGGTGCTAGTATTTTCTGAACTTTCCTAATCCATACCTTTTTTTTTTTAAAGTCTTTTCACTGTCTTTGTTGTATACTATAATATTAACATTCCCAGAAATGCTTACATTCCCTGGTTAGGAATGCAACACATTCATCGTGTGGTGGGAAGAAGGGTTATTTCAGCACTGCATGTTAAGACTTAATTGCCCCCACCCCTTAATGTGAAGTAGGGGTGAAGAACAGACTAAAAATAGATTCAAACTAGTTATTCACATGTGGGTGTATGAAGCATTGCTGTACTCCCTGACCGCCTCATCCATTAACTATACTTGTGTGGTTTCCTGTATAACATTTCTTATTTGAATTCTTTGCCCTTTAAACCCTGCCCCTATCAATATACTGAAATGTTCAGGATTTGTGAGGGCAGAGGGTAGATATTGTCCTCAGGATAGACTAGTAAAGAGGTTTGTGGTTGAGTTACTAAGTGTGTTTGTGCTTTAGTTGCCTTCATGTTTATAGTAGTGTCTTTCTCCTTGCCACTTTTCCAGTATTGTGGTCTCAGAATAGTCAGATTTCTTACATGGCAGCTGGCTTCCCCTAGAGCAGACATCCCCACTGAACCAGCACGAAGCTGCAAGGCATTCTGGGCATTTTGTGACTTAGCCTCAGAATTCGTATAGTGTCACATCCACAGTACATTAGTAGTGGAAGCTGTCACTGTCTGCCAAGGTTCTAGGGGAGGGAGAGAGCTTAGACCTCATCTCTTGATGGGTGAAGTGTCAAAGATCTTGTTAGCATTTTAAAAACTGCCATATCCCCAAAAAGACTTAATCAAGAAAGAAAAGAGAAGGCACGTATTACTAGTAGCAAGAATGGTAATTTCATGTTTGTCATTCCTGGTCCTACATAAAATATGATAACAGAATATTAAGAACAACATTATGTGAATGAGTTTGAAAATGTATATGAAACCAACAAGTTACATACAGAAAAATACAACAAAATCTGACAACAGTGAATAAAATGAAAAAATTAAAACAATCCTGTGTCTAATAGAGAGATTGACTCCATAACTAAAAGCCTTCTTAGAAAGGTTTTTGGAGGACAATGGCAGCTGCCTGATTTTCCTTATCCTTAAACAAAAAATCATCAAATCAACAAGCAGAGGAAATAAAAGCACATATCATGCATCTCTTCAGCATGACTAGAAGACAAAGAATACTGTTACCTTCTAATTGCCTTAAGTAGAGAAATAAATTCCAATCTAGTTGCTCCTACCCTCCCACCACTGCAAGCCTGTCAGTGCTAAGACTTGGAGAGGAGGCTTAAGAGTAGAGAGGCGTGGACAGCTTAGAAGAAGAGCCAAGAAAAGCGTCCTCAGAAAGAGAAAGCCTAAGACTAAATGCCAAACAGCTGAACACAGGTCAGGATGTGGTAGTTCAGTCAAAGTAGTCGAAATGGGAGATAGCCAAAGGAGTTCTAACATATATATGTATATATAATTGGAGCCCCTAAAGAAGACATTAACAAAACAGTGTAACTTAAATATTACAAAAGTACTATTTAAAAATATAACCCAAGAAAACATTTTGGGCATAAAACGTGACCTGACATGCACTTCCAGCGTGATAGCATGAGGATCTCCACAGACCCACTCCCCGGGGAAACTGGTGAAAATTCTAAAATAACTGTCGTTTAAAGTCTCTGGAAATGGTCGCTAGGACATACAGCAAATGAAGAAACATTTTTTCAAGAAAATTTACTAAAATTTGTTGAGAACAATTGGAATCTGTGGTATCTGAATCAAGACATACCCCTTTCCTCCCACCTCCCAGTTCAGTCAGACAGAAACTCCACTCCAGACTGGTGCAGCCAAAAACAGAGGGCTTCCCCTCTCCCCGGTTCCCACTCAGATGTCCATCTTCCGCAAATCCTCACTACCTTCACTTGAATAGCTTCATATTGATTATACAATGGCTCGGCTGTGTGATTTCCAAGAAGGCAAATTAGACTAGAAGTCATCTGGTCAAATAAGTTTAAATCTGCATATGAAGGATCAATGAATTTTTAATGTAAGAAAAGTCTCAGTACCACGTAAAGCCAAAGTTCAAAAGTTCTGTCCACATGTAGTATAGGAGTATATTTAAAGCCTGTGTTCTCCAGATGGATGTCAGTTTGACTCAAATCTAAATATAGAATATTTATCTCCTATTCTAAAATTAACTTTAGAATCAAGCATATTTAAGCAGGATCTAGGAACCATTAAATGTTCTCTTATAATGTCATCTATACTGTCTTAACAGGCTTGGCTGGTCCACATTTAATTATTTAGGAGCTTATATTATAAAACTGTATAAACAAAAACCTATATATGACCACGAATGAGTCTTGGTAAAGCAAACTATCCACTAAAAGTTTGTTTTAAAGATTTTTTTCTCAGGTTAATGGTTTGTGCCTCTATGTCATTCAGTTTGAGTATAAGTTCAGGGGAAGGAAAAGGTGGAAGGTTCTCTAATATTTGTTACATGCCACTATGAAAAGGGACTTTATATACGTTACCTTATTTAGAAATCACAACTGTATGTCATAACATAATCCCATTGTTAAAGAAAATGGAGTTTACGAATGTTAAGTAATTTGCCTTGTATATGGATACTCTAAGGTGGAAATAAATTTTGAAACCAGGTCTGTCTGGCTCCAGAGTCAAGACATAAGAAAGACTTAATTTGGGGCCAGCCCCTGGCTGAGTGGTTAAGTTCGCACACTCCGCTTTGGCGGCCCAGGGTTTCACAGGTTTGGATCCTGCGCGCGGACCTAGCACCGCTTATCAAGCCATGCTCAGGTGGCATCCAGAAGCACAACCAGAAGGATCTCCAACTAGAATATACAACTATATAGTGGGGGACTGTGGGGGAGAAGAGAAAAAAAAAGATCGGCAACAGATGTTAGCTCAGGGCCAATCTTAAAAAAAAAAAAGGAAAGAAAAACTTAATTTTAAATAAAATGTCTAATAATATATATACAGTATATATAGAATATACATTGTACAAAATCAAAAGCTACAAAGAGTTATATATGTGGAAAGTAAATTTCTGTAACATTCCTTCCCTGTAGCCACTCAGTTTCCCTTCCCAGAGCAATTGTTACCAGTTTCTTCCAGAAGTATTCCATGCATATAAAAACAGATTTGCTACATCCACCCCTCCTTAATTTTTTTACAGAAATGGGTGTAATAAAATATGCACACCATTCACCTTTTATTATTTTTTTAATATTTAGCAGTGTATCTTGGAGATTATTTTATGTCAGTATATCTGTAGCTGGCCTCAGATTTTTAAAATGGCTACATAGTATTCCTTTGTGAGGATATACGATATTTTTGACTAGTCTTCTATCAATAGATGTTTAAGTTGGTTCCAATTTCAGCAATTACTAATATTGTTGCAATGATGATCTTTGTTTACATAGTACTTCACACCTGACTGCATTTATCGGTAAGAGTTAGAAACTAGATCAGAGAGTATATGAGAGAGATTGTCCAAATTCTATCTGTAAGGATTGAAGCAATTTTTACTTCAAACCACAGCATTTGACTGCTTTATTACACTCATCAACAACATAGTGCTATGAAATATTTGAATCTTTGTCAAACTTATAGTTGGATAAAAGGAATATTTCAATGTGGTTTTATATTACATTTATATTATAAGCAGGATTGGAGGTATTTTTATTGGACTGTTTGTCTTTGTCCTGGTGATTTGTACAAGTTCTTAGGAGAAATATTAACATTTTGTTTGTGGTGAGTTTCAAATATATATATTTTTTGTTTAGGATATTTTTTCCTATGTGGAAATTGCATTTTTATTGATCAATTTTTTGTGACATTTGGATTTTTCTTTTTTCTTTCTGCTTTTTCTCCCCAAATCCCCCCTATACATAGATATGTATTTTAGTTGTGGGTCCTTCTAGTTGTGGCATGTGGGACACTGCCTCAGCGTGGCCTGATGAGTGGTGTCATGTCTGCGCCCAGGATCTGAACCAGTGAAACCCTGGGCTGCTGCAGCAGAGCACACGAACTTAACCACTCGGCCATGGGGCGGCCCCGCCATTTGGATTTTATAGCAAACTTAGACAGCTTTTCCATCATGAGTGTTTCCTGCTAGTGCTTTTGTGGTTTCATTTACCATCTTTAGTCTGGTATAAACTGGGAGAAAGAGATTTCTTTTCAGCCCCAAATAGCTGCTCAGTCCCATACTTTTTACTGAATAATCAATTTTTTCTTGACTAGTTTGGAAGAGCACATTTTATCATATTTGATTGTATTCTAAATTCCCATTTGCTTTGGGACCTATTTCTGGGCTTTCTGTTCTCTTTCATTGATCTGTCTAATCATGCACTGGCACCATGCTGTTTTAGTTACTACAGCATTAAAATTTATTATTTACTTCACTTTTACTTACATACAATAAAAAAATTCACGTATTTTAAATTGTATTCAATTGTAACTCACCAGTCGAGTTGTAGTTTTCTCTCACCCTAAAATGTATCCTTATGCCCCTTTGCACTCCAACCCCTGAATTATATGGGGTTTGCAGTTAAA